GGAGATCCGGAATCGTCCGGATCTCGGGGGGTAGTTCGTTCCAGAGGGTGGGGGCACCCACAGAGAAGGCCCTCCCCCTGGGGGTCGCCAGCCGACACTGCTTGGCCGACGGCACCCTGAGGAGGCCCGCTCTGTGGGAGCGTACCGGTCTGTGGGAGGGAATCTGTGGCAGAAGGCGGTCTCGGAGGTATCCAGGTCCGCCTTATATAAATTGTTTTAATTATTTGGCAAACACTTTCTGATTTACTGTAAATCACAAAGCAACGATGGAAATCAGTGTTTTAATCAGAAACAAAAGAAATTTGCTCTTTATTTGCATCTTCTCACCTTTTTGACTCTAGAAATGACTATCATACTTAAAAAATTACTGCAATATACCTCTGAATGAGGATGCAGTGATGTAAATAATCATTATACAAGACATGGTCCTCAACATTTCTGGCCTGGTAAGTTCATTTGATATTTTGAGAAATGCTGTGGATGCTCTGGTAACAGATCTACCCAGTCAAGACTCCATTTTATATCTGTCATCTTTCCAGACAGGCACATACACAAAACTGGACAGCAGATACCTATCATTTTGTTTTCTATAATTGTTTAAGAAGTCCAAGACCATAGACCACCTGTAGAAATTAAAAATGAAGCCGAGACTGGCCCTTTTGCTTAGAAACCTTAGTGTTCCATTTTTTAATTAAAATATTCTTTTAAAGCAAATGTCAGGCAGGGCAACGAGAGGGCATAATTGGTGCCCTAGGGAAATTGCCTCAGGCAGGGCAATTTATAGAATCTAGCACTTCTTCATGTTCAAATCCTCCAAAATAGACTTGGTGATAAGAGTAGTTCCTAAGAAAACCATCATGAAATTGAATGAATATGAAAAATATAGCAAAGCACTGAATACTAAATTATGCTCCAGATCATTGAGGTTTCTTTGGAACATTCATAGGACAGCCTGAATCAGAATGGGAAGGTATCTTCTTCATATGATAATTTAATTCGACTCCTTCTCATTCAGCTATAATAGCAAGAAAAATACCACAACCAAGACAAGCGATTAAAAAGAAGCACAATTAAAACACATGCACATAAACAATTCTTGTGGGGCAAAATGGGGAATGTGTGCAGGGCAAACACAAGTTTCATTGTCACAAGATGTCCTTATCCTTGATGTGTGTCTAGGGCACTTGTATAGCTTTCCAGGAGACTCTATAAGAGGTGGTTTTCTTAAACTTAAAAAACACACTTTCCCTCTTAGCAATTGATTTTAGCCATTCGTTTCCTTCACAAGTCATTAAAAAGGCCTTGTCCTTATTTCACACAATTAAGTCTATGTTATTCTGCTCCAATAATGAATCTGTATGACTAACCACATGTCACTGGAAATTTATTTCCTGAACTCCCGTTTCCATGTGCTGAACAGCATGGATTGGATTACATTAGCCTGGTAAACTAGCTTTCTTCCAAGGGCTGCAGGAAAATAAATTTTGCCTTTGTTATTAATTGACAAACTGCACTTTCACATTTCTGGCAGTTTAGATATGCGGTATCTAATAATACAGTAAAAGCCATTCACATTTGTTGTTCTTCTATTCAAAAATTCACAACAGCTCACTCAAAAAATAATAATAGGCAAAACAATTTAATTTGAATTGAAATGTGGCCAATATCCATTGTTAACATAACAGCTACTCAAAATATGATGTAAAAAAATAGCAATATAATTATACTGAGGCATTGCTACTCCAACTATTTCCTGCTTCCTCAAAGCAGCAGTGAAACTGAACTTCTTTGTTTTAGGTGTTTTCTTCTTGGAAGTTTCAGAGTAGAAGGAATAACTCTTCTCCTCTTGCTGTGCAAAGTGTAATAACTTTGTTATTATTATCAAAGTAATTATTTCTGTGCATGGCAAATAAAGTTTAAAGTTGGAAGAAAGGACATTCAATACTTCTGGACTATGTGAATTTGACAAATCATTTTGTCTGAAATACAGTGAAAATGGTCATCTTTATACAACTTTTACAAGATACGGTATTGGTATTTCTTGTGAACCACTTGTAAACTCAGAATGAACCTAAGAACTCTAATGCAACAATGAAAACACACATAGATTTAAGTGATTCTACCTATAGAAGATGACTGCGGACTGATCAAAAGGTCCTCCTGAACTTGTTCACTTCCAGGGACTGTCTGCTGATCACTCAAAGAACTTTGGGATGCACTAACAGGCTGAGATACTTCCTCATGTACTTCTTCATCACTCAACCTTTCCACTTTTACACGCACATCTTCTTCAATCACCAGGGGTGAGGTGGTTTTTGTGCTCTCACACGTCATATAATCAGAAATTCTTCTAGATGCTTCAGATGGGCCAGGCACTTCTAGAGTCCGAGAATTTTCTACTTGCTTCACCTTTTCTGACTGGAGTCTTCGGTCAATTCCAAAAGGGAAAGTCCAAGGAAAAGCTAAGGAAGAGTCCACAGGATGACTTCTACTCTCTGCGTAGGAAGCTGAAGTAGTCAAAACTTGTGGGGAGTTTGTCTGGGTGTTACATTTAAGTGGACTTTCTGGGGACATTACAATATAGCTTTTACGCTTCCGACGCGATTCTCGGCAGACAGGAATGGTTCTTTCTACCACACTGCATTCCGAGGAAACTGGAGAAAGACTGCCATCCCGTGATGTAAAATTGCAGTTGGCATTGTTTTCCTGGCCTGTATCTAGCACCTTTTCTTGCTGACTACTGGGGGTGTTCCATAAAATACTTGACTTCATAAACTCAGAACAGGTGCTAGCAACACTGAACATTTGCATATAGCTAGCAGCAGCCAAGACGTCAATAATGTTTTCAGTGTTAATAGACAATGTTGCCGTGTAGGCGTATTCCAGAAGAGGCAAAAAGCCAGTCACTGTCACATGATGCAAGTCAAGTACGCTCTGGCCATCATCTTCTGCTTGGCCAACCAATTTGGAACGGAAGAAGTCACTGCACGCTGCCAGGACTACCTTGTGTGCTCTGAAGATTTTATCTTGGACACGAATGGTGATGTCACAGAAATGTCCATCATTACGTAGCATGTTCAGCTTTCCAAGCATCTCCTGGCTGTGAGCTGGGGAACTGTGGGTAAATGTTTTGACGCCCATTTTACTTGTATACTTGCTGCGACAAATATTCAAAATGGACCTAGAAAAGACAAAAAAGGGAAAAGTTTTTTCAGTTATCTAATTATGTAAAAAAGCTAAAATATGGGAATTTATCATATAACATGTCATTAATATATGCTTATTTAAGTAATGTTTCTGTGTTAGGTGAAAATATATTGCTTGTTTGTCAATTATTTCAAACAAGACATAAAAGACTGAATTGTTGTATTTGAGTCAATGGAAAATAAAGGCTGTATGAATTATCCTTATTAACAAAAACCTGCTTAACTAAAGATGTGAACGCTCCTTCCCCAACTTCCTTTGATGCTATGTCAGAATCATTGCTTGATGTACTCTCTAAACTAGGCGAAACTGGAGTGAGTTTAAACCAGGGGTCTTCAAACTTGGCCCTTTTGTGACTTGTGGACTTCAACTCCCAGAATTCCTTAGCCAGCGTGCCAAGTATGAAGACCCCTGGTTTAAACAATGGTAAAACTTATCTAAGTAAACTTTCAAGAGATTGCAAGTAGTGCAAATATTGTAATCAAATCTAGTCCAGCCTATGGTTTGCCTCTTCTATGATTTTTACAGGAAGATGAAATAAAATTTTACATTTCCTGCAATCAAATTATTCTTGGTAATTACTGGTTATTCCACTGCAACAGGAATTTTAACATAATTATGATCCAATCATTATTCATAGTATACAACTGTGCTCCCAGGAAAGTTTAGAAAAATGTAACATATAATTATTTGAAACTTGAGTTGTAATAGTTAAATACTGATATATAATATTCTGGACAATTTTGGTAAACAAAGACTTTTATTACCATACATTGTAAGAAGCTCAGACCTTCTTAAGTCCACAGCTTCAGATCCTTAATTAATCATGTAGATTAGAATTCAAACTAACATAGACTCAAGAATAATTAATCCTGTCAAAGTTCACTTGTCTATTAAATAATTGGTCAAACTTGAGTGCAAATCTGAGAAAAATTACTCTTCAGTAATTTCAGAAGATTCACTACGTCAAAAGTATTTGCAGTCATCTTTTTGACATAATAAAATCACATGAGGTGAGTCAATAATATTTTCAAGTGTCAAGAATGTAATTGCTCCATCTGATACCGCCGCTGCTTTCAGTAATACTTATGCATTTCTAAATATAGTAGAACTTTCTCCTTATACTAAAGTGGGCATTTAAGGTCACTTTCTTAAGATGATCTTATCTGAAAGACAATGAGTAGGCATGACTGATCATGTTTTTAAAGCTATACAATCCTAGAGAAGTCTTGGGGGTGGGTGTTTATTGTTTATAGTATATGTTACATGTCTGCATAGTATACAGTCTACTGAAGTCAGATGAATTTAATATGTCTGTGTATACACAAATATAGTAAGATATGGTTGGGATACTCAAAACAGTAAACAGTAAAGTGTAAAAGGCAGGCTGTAATCACATACATAGCACATACCAAACGATACCCATTGAGCTCAGCCAGTCTAGCAAGCAAATCCCAGGCATATTTATTTACATAATCCTGCCTTTCATTTTGGAACTCAAGGTGATATATATAACACAAGTGTACCTTCTCCTGTTTTTCATCACAACATTCTGGTGAGATAGATTCCACTGAAAATACATGACTGGCTCAAGACAGCCAGTCAGATTATTAGAATTAAGAGTAACAGTAGGCAGATTTTTGCTACATATTTCTTACAGGAACCCAGTGCTTGATTTCCAATTAACAATTACCGGTACTGTATTTTCATTCTAAAAGTCCATACTGCAATAAATACAAAGTTTGCCAAATATTGTATATCTATCATCCAATACTCACATCAAACAATAATGAAACATTCTGCATTTATTTGTACATATACTGAATTTCAGGAAAAGCACACATCAAATAAGTTACTTCATTAGCAATTACATGAAGTAACGTTCTAACCATTAATGTTGCCCCTTTTAAATTTTTGACCCAAACAATACTTCTCCCAAGACCCATACCAATCCATCTCTCATCCCCCAGTCTGGCTAAACTTAATCGTTCAAGGTGTGTATGCTTTTGCTAATCCATCAACTTCTACTGACATAAGTTACTTCTGTAAAAGGAACTGACTTTCAGGAATTCTGTTCAAGTTTAAACAAGACAAGCATTTGGTACTGCTCTCGCCCTTTCTACGCTGATTTAACTTTACAATGAGTTAATTGTATGAATGGAATTGTATACTAAATGTTTTTAGATAGTTCATCTCAAACAAAAAAATTGCCATTCAGGATTAACAGTTAGGCCAGCATAAATTCAACTCTTTTGAAAATGCTGTAAATTCAAAACCAACGTGCAACTGCCGCTGGGGGATAAGATCAATACATGAAGATGATGATTACATAAGCAAATTTATCTAGGTGCTGTGCTTATATGTTCCCACAGCAGTAGCCAATCTTTTTTCTTCTTTGCTCTACCCTACAGAAAACACACGGTGCTAATCAACCATTTTTATTTACTGAAGCTACTTCTATTTACTGAAGGAGTTTATCACAAAGCTGTGCAAAACAACGTATAGCCATTCCTGAATTTTAAAAGGTTACTTCATTAATGCTCAGAGATCATCCTGTTTTACTTTACATACATCTAGAAACAGGCACTAAAAAATCTGTATTCTGCCTGCACTAGAATCTTAACAAATTCCAGCCCAAATTAATGGGATCGTAAACTAACTACAAAGCTACTTAGGGCTTCACATATATTGTATGGGTAACATTTTTTGTTTAATTTTGTGTTAGCTTATATTTGAGCCAATCTATTATTACCGATACAAGAAATTACAATCAACAAACTATGGTTTACCATTAAAATAATAAATAGATCCTATACTATAACCATCTCTTAAGCCGATCTATGACCGTAATAACAATTTGACTTATCTCTCTGAAGAGAAATCAAATTATAACTGCCCATACTTTTTATGAGTTTTCTAGTCAAATCTGTAAACATAAAAAGTAATTCAGATTCAGAAATCTTTATATTTTATTCCAGTGAAAATAAGAGGATTACATGAATTAATAAGTAACTTTTCAATAATTATATGTAACTTTAAGGTTAGAAGGAAGCAGACTTCCTTGCCCTCAAAGTGCCCATATCATGAAATTATTTTTAAAAAGATTTATATAGCTGCCTATCTTATCCAATATAAGCATAAGCATCTTATGCTATATAAGATCACAAACAGTAAAAAAAAATGAAAACAGTAAAAAACAACAACACAGAAACTCTTAGTCATGCCAAAGCACAATATATTTCCACATATCCACAACAAATTTTATTAGGTTCACACTACCTCAAAGTACGTAGAAAGCTTCTTTATTTAGCATAAAGCTAAATATGGGACTACCAATTTTCCATTTTAGATGTATCTATGAACAAATAAATTTCTGAATACTGTTTATGTTTATGAGGATAAAACAAACATAGTAGATACTTCATGTCAATGTTGCTAGATATTGCTCTTAGTGGCCAGAATGCCTAGAAATCTGATACTTTATAAAAAGCCGAAATTCTCTAATTCCCTATTGCTGTTGCTGTGTGACCCAATTAAAAAAAAAAAACTAGTTACCTTTAAATATGTGGCCTCTAGGAAGGGGAAGAAATTGAAAGAAAAAAGATACAAGTGATAACCACCAGAAATTAAACTTTAAATGTGACATATTCAAGGTGTTTAAAGGTCAAATGGGGTTACTTTTATTTGAAGACAACAATAGTAATCTAAATAGAAATAACTGAAAATTGTCATACATTACCAAGAAAGTCTGCAAAGCTATATCAAGATTGGTAACAAGGAATTTGCTATAGCTTCAGAATATTAAATCATAATTATAAATAAAAATGTTCAGGAAAAGTCCGTTGTTTCTTGCAGAGATCAGTAGCTGCACTATTAAGTAACGATTTGCTGTAGTAATTTCCTGGCCTAAGCAAGAAGCTTATCTGATAGAGGTAATTCTTTATTTCAGTTTAGTTCAGTTGTCTTTCTACCTTCTGCACTGTACATACATGGACAAAAACTTTCTGCAGAAATGGATAGGAATGTGTTATTCTGTCATTTATTCTCTCTCTCTGCAAATAAAAAGAAGTTTTATTGTCACTATGCAAAACTCTGGGGTACTAAATACCTACTACTGGATTTCACTAGTTTTAGTTAACAGGCAGTAAGCCAATTAAATCAAATACTTAATGCATATCTAACTACCCACCTATTTAATTTAATCATCAAGAACAAAGAGTACAATTGATCTTTTGAATTCTTGCTAAGGATAGCTAGAATAACTTTAAGTATATACTATGAACAAGGTAGATCTTCAGAATAACTCAACTATTTAACTGCTATTCAAACTTCATTTGTAGTATGATAAAAATGCTTTTAAATATTTCCGTATTATGAGTTCAAGTGTTCAAATAACTTAATGTGGATGATGTAATTATCTCCCTTATAAGAATCCTTTGAAGTTAATGTGGACAACTGGTGTTAGAGTTGCCCACATGCACCCTAAAGTTTGTACAATCAGATGTAAAGGTCTATATATGTTTGTGTGAAGGCAAGTGAGTGGAGAGAAAGAAGCTTAACCATTTGTTCCAGTCTACTTTTACCTCTTTACTGCTGTTGATGTTAAAATGCTAAAAAGATGCTCGAACCTTAAGATTCCATGATAAATCCATCTCAGAATAAGCTAACAGTACATTCTGTTTTAGCAACCATTCTCAAAGAACTCTATGGTCAGCCATAGAGTACTTTCATAGCAGCTGCCAGAAAATCTGCTCAAAACTTCTCAAGGAGGCCCCTGTTAACAACTGCATTTTAATGTCTTGGGAGAGGGGTAGTCATGCACAGAAAAGGCAGACCCTCATAACAGGCCTTTAAGGTTAAGGCTGCTCTAAAGGCAGTCAATATAGTTCCTCTATTATAGAAAGAATTTTGAGGTCGAGTGTGTGGCTTGCTTAAGG